GTGTGTGTGTGTGTGTGTGTGTGTGTGTGTGTGTGTGTGTGTGTGTGTGTGTGTGGATCATTCTCCGTGTTCTGCATTTTTTGGCATTCAGCTCCTCGGAAAGGACTCCATCGACATTGATATTGCACTCGATGACATGATGGGGAAGGAGTTTGCAGAGAAAGTAAACGAGCACCTGATTAGCATGGGTGTTGAGACCACGAACATTGGCGTTGTTCAGAGGTCTGGCTCTATCAACGAACTTTTGCCTCTTCTTGTCATGCGCCTACAGCAGTACTTCTTACTCTTTGCTTCATGCGCCTAGAGCAGTAATGCTCCCAAGTCCCAACCGACCGGGGTTTACTAAGCTGTAATTTTGCATGCAAATGAGCCGGGCACGATAGGGAAGTGGCCTTTGTTCGGCCTACACAGAGACAAGGTCGTTCTTGACGATACAAACTCAATTATTGTTGATGATGAGCACTAATCGGGGTTTTCTTAGCTGCAATTTTGCATTGCATAGGTATGATGGGAATTCCTTACACAGTTGGATGCAGAAGAAAAAATTGACTGACTCTTTAACAACGGTTGATTGGCCTTTCAGCGAGTTTTTACTCTGCCATACCTCACACGATTGAATGCAGAAGAAATTGACTAACTTTTTAACCATGGTTGATTGGCCTGCGTAACTTTTTTAACCATGGTTGATTGGCCTGCATAACTTTTTAACCATGGTTGATTGGCCTTTCAGTGGTTGTTTACTCTGCCAGATGGCCTCAGGCGCAGCATCGCGAAGTTTCTTTTTTTATTTATTTACTTTTTTTACATGCAGGCATAATTAAAAAAAAAACTTGTTTGCGAATTGCTGTTGTAGCTACGTCTAAGGGGATCTAGCGAAGGTGGTGGTATTGTCATCCATGGTGCCGAAAGGCTACCGTCTTCACCCGAATAGAACGCCAGGTCATTACAGCTGCGTTTGGCAGAACTTGCAGTCCAGATGCAGCGAAAATTACTGGCCGTTTTACTCGGTCGCCGAAAGGCTAGGTGTGTGGTGTGGGCCCTGAGGAGACCAGAGCGCAACCGGATGAAAAAAACACATTGGGGGTTCTTCACACTTGCTGAGGTTATGGACATGTGATGCTGTTAATGATTGTATCTGGGTATTGCGTGTTCAGGGACATGTTGTCAATGGCTCGACACTAAGTCTAGGCCATACTCGCATTGAGCACTTCTTGTCAAAGAATCAAAGTCCATATCTCGTCTCTCTTCTTACTATACTACTCTTATAAGAGCAAACAGTGGGTCTCGCGTGACGCGTTGTGGCCTAGCTGCCGCTGTTGGGAAAACGGCCTTTCCCTTCCAGGCCCGCGGGCAGGGCATGTTCGAATACAAGTACACAGTGCAATGACATGTGGAGTCGTTTTTTTTTTTTTCCCCAGTAGATCCACCCATTTTTTGTTTTCAGTGGCACACCTCACCACATACACAAAAGGAAAAAAAAAAAAAAAAAAAAAAAAAGGCAAAAACAAATATGGCGGTAAATCTTTATGATGTTCTATGGGAACGTTCATTTGAACTTTTTTGTCTTTTGTGCACGTTGGGAGTAGTGGAGCGAGGCCCAATTTGTGCACGTTAGTCCTTCGGGACATCTGTTAAAATTGGAACGATACAGAGAATGAAGATTAACATGGCCCCTGCCCAAGGATGGCACGCATGAATCGAGAAAAGGTCCAATTTGTGCACGTTGTGAGTAGTGGAGCGAGGCCCAATCTCACAGTTGACCTCTCAGGGCCTTGTCCCACTACTCACAACGTGCACAAAAGACAAAAAACTTGAAAAAAGTAGATTTTTTTTTTTTTTAGTACATTTACTAGATTCGTTCTTTTTTTTCTTTTTTTTCTTTTTTTAAGATTCGTTTGTTTGTTTTTGTCTTTTTCTGAGAAAGGGCAATGCTATGCCACAGCTAGCCAAGCCTCACTGCATGCACAAAAGACAATCGTGAGTGGGGGCCGTTGCTGCTCACAACATGCACAAAAGCCAAAAAATATGGTGGTGCATCTTTCCATGTTCTAGCGTAAGATTCGTTCTCATTTTCCCCTTTTGGTGAGTAGTGGAACGGGGCCCATAGTATGCCTAGAAGGGAACAAGCCTATTTGGACACAGGAAGGGAACTAACACATAGGGCCCCGCTCCACTACTCACCACATGCACAAAAGAGAAAAAATGCAGCGGCGAATATTCTGACGTTCTGGGGGAAGATTCATTCTCATTTTGCACGTTTGGTGAGTCGTGGAGCGAGGGCCACAGAAGGATCCTTGGACTATGCTGCCTTTTTTTTCCGGCGGGTGGGGGGCAGCGCAGGGCTGTCCCCTTCCCGCCCCCCTGCCCCCCCCTTTTCACAGTGGTAGTCTGCCTGTTACTAGCATCCCATCCACGGAGTGCGGTCCGCCCCTCATGCAGCAGTATACACAGGGGGGAAAAAAACCGGCATGCGGGACAAGCACAGCAGAGCAGGGGGAGCCATTATGACTGGTTTCGGCCTTCGGCCGCCTATAACTATATATAACTCTGGCGAGCCTCAAGTTATATCGCCTTTACTGGCCAACATTGCTTTGCACGGAATGGAGAATGCTTTGAATGAGTGGGCTCGGCAACAGGCGGCCGAAGGCCGAGTTATCCTAGTAAGATACGCCGATGATTTCGTTGTTCTTCACAAGGCTCGAAGAGTTGTCAGGAGGGACAGACAGGAGTGGGACAGAGAAGGTGTGGCAGACAATGGTAAGCAGCAAGGGGAAGCAGGAAGGGCAGGTCTCTGCCGCGTGCGGAGCTGCGGCGGGCATGGCCTTGTTATGAATAATGTGCATGGTGCACAAAAAAACGGATCTCTTTCCAATCGTTTGACAATTGAAAATGATTAATGTGTGAACCGAAACATGTGTTCTCTTAATAACAAAGATTCGGAAAACCGCAAAGCACATGAATTCTACATCTGTAGAATTCGAATGAGCCTCTCCGAAAAGTTAAGGGAATCAGGACAGGGCCCGCCTGGGGGCGGGTGTAATTCTTTTCTTTTGTTCAGGGCTGGGCTTAGTGGCAACCCACGACATGGGACAATTTTTTATTTTTTATTTTTTTCTATTGGGCCCTCGGACGCCCTGTCCCAAGCCTCCGAAATTTGGGGAGCCGCTCAATCGGATTCTCAACTTGGCTGGGGCTATGTACTGGTGGTTTAAAGCTGCTGCATAGAGGACATAAACTCAAACCAAACCTGTCAAAATGAACTTGTGGGTTTATGTCCAAAATGAATGGGTATAAATTTGGGAGCCGCTTGGGAATCCGATTCAGCGGCTTGTCACAACTAACTTTTGACACGAACCCAAAAAAAAAATGGACTTGTGTGTGAGTTGTCAAAATGAATGGGTGTAACACTTTTAGTTAAAGTCGTTTACAAAGCAATCGTTTATATTAATCTTTGCGTGTGTTTTGAACCACCACTACCTTTCGTGCTGTTGGGGAAAGTGGGACTACAACCTAGACCTCATTCTTCGGGGACCGGGCCCAACGGTGGCGGCTGTTGATAAATTTCATCGGCGGCCTTTGTTTCATTACCGGCCTCCGAAGCTTGTGGGGCCTCATCCGCGGCGGCCAATATATGGGAAAGGTAGTGGTGGTTCAAGGTTCTACGTTTACGTGGGGTGCCAACCTAGCACCAACTAATCGCGCGCGAGGGAGGTTGAGGGTGTGAACGCAGAACCTCCCCGTTGCACTTTACCCACTGAGGTACCACAGTTTGTCCGAGTAAGGCTGATCTTCTAATAGGAATGTTGGAATGGTTGTTTGGACTTAAAAGCAAATTTTGAAACGTATCGGACCCGGTTTCAAGCGCAAGCCAAAGCTCTGCTGTAATGGCCCCAGTAAATTTTTATGGCAGGAACTTGCTTTCTACGGCCTTCTCCAGTGAGCAATAGAACAAAATCATCTGCTGACGTAAAAAATTATGTCGAATGAAGGCCTTGCCTTCACATTTGTTTGGTTGTTCTGCGGTCTTCACCAGAAGGTTGACGTTACTTGGGGGAACTTTTGACACATTTGTCTTTGTAGTTTAGGGTTTAGGGTTTTTGGTAGCAGCGACTTCTATTCTTTTGTTTGTACACATGCTTCGCAATGCAGCATATGGTCCTCAACCGACTTCATCTTGTTTTTATTTGCCCCCGTTCTCTAGAGTAAATTTAATGATCGTCTTTACTACTAATTAGGGCAACTCATATTAGTTTGCGTCTCAAGGAGGTTCCTTCTTGCTATGAAGTGCTTGCTATTGCTACCTTCTAGTTGTCTCCATTGCACAACTTGTCTCTCGAAGTGATATGAATTGATTTGATTGATTTGTTGATTGGCTTGGATGTCTACTTGTATCCCCAGCAATCCCGATCAATCCAAGCACCTTGAGACTGCAACGACACGCGTGCATGGAGTAGGGATCGATTTTGTCAATCTGCGTTCCGAAAAATATGCTGAGGACAGCAGGATCCCAACCGTGGTAAGTAGAAGAAATTCATTCTGTCTTCATCTTTCTTCATGCATACTTTCATTCTTTTGGTGATGAGAGATAGATAGGCATTTCATGTATCTGTCACGACTAGGGATGTCATCCGTATGTTGTCAACTGCCTTTGCTGTTGATGTTCATTATCATGCTTTCCTTCTTCTGATGATAATAACTAGATGGATAGATAAATAGATAGACAAATAGATAGATGAACAGATAGATAAATAGATAGATAAATAGATGGATAAATAGATGGATAAATAGATAGATAGGATAGGTTATATGTGAGATACGACAAGATAAGATAATGCTAGCTAGCTAGCTAGCTAGATAGATAAATAGATGGATAAATAGACAGACAGACAGACAGACAGACAGACAGACAGACAGACAGACAGACAAACAGACCAAGCGAGCGACCAACGTACCGACCTACAGGCCGACCGACAAACAAACAAACAAACAAACAAACAAACAAACAAACAAACAAACAGACAAACAACTAGAAGATAAATAGATAAGATGAAGATAAGATACGAAAGATAAGATGGATAAGATAGATGTTTCTCACGTCTTCTTGTTGTATTTGTCGTTACTTCTGCCACCTCGTGTGTTCGTCGTTGTGCTCCCCTCCCATCTCCTTTAAATTATGCGGCAAATTATGATTTCCATGCCACATCTAGGTTGTATTAAGTATTATTTGTGCCAACAAGTCTCTGTTGTATTATGTATTGTTTTGTGTTCCCTCCTTTCCATGCCAAGTCTATGTTGTATTATGTATTGTTTGCGGTGCTGGTGGAGGGGCAGGCTTCCAGAGCATGTTGTGTGTTTCCAAGTATATTTGTGTTTGAAATTTTGAAATTTGACTGACTTGCTGTGGCTGACTCACTTTTGTTGCTCCTATTTCTGTAGAGTTTTTCTAATCGTTTGATTTATTGTTTGCATTTTGTGAAGCCCGGTAACTAATCTTCGAATGCAAACGTTCACATCTTGTCGCGAAATCCAACCCCTCACAAACCCTTTGTAACCCCTTGGAAACCCCTTGTGACCCTTTACAACCCCTCACAACCCCCCTTGTGACCCCTCACAACCCATTGCAAACCATTTCCAACCCTCCCAACTCCTAACCCCCCTTGCAACCCCTTACGATCCCCGTGCAACCCTCTACAATCACTTGGAGACCCTCCGTACCACTTGGTGGATGTATGTGAGAAATGTGTGTACATTCTGTGTACCCTGGACATCTCCTTCCTTTCTTGTTTTTATTACCCTTTTGCTAAGCTACCAGAACATCCGGCCGGACGGTTGTGCCCCGTCATCAGTGGTCCAGGGGACCTGGGCTTCTGCACATTCGGGAAATGTCCCTTTCAGACATCTTATCGACCATTCAATATGCCGCCTGGGCTGCGCAAGCCACAGGAGCTGTTGTAACCAATTAGAATAGGTCTTCTTGGATCCAAAGTGCCGTGCAAGACTTTGGGGTGTCTCGTTACCAGAATTGTTGTCTCTGAAACCCTTCTTTAGCGAACCGTCGATCATCCTACGCTCCTCGCTTACTTTCTTATCCTTGTCGTAGAGGCATCTGATGATTTCATTAAGTGTGTCGTCCAGTGCATAGGCATCAAATCAAATTTCTGCCTACTTACTTTATAGTAGTATTCCCTGTGTAGCACTCCGTTTGTGTTCGGGGGAAGAACACGAACGTATTTTGGAGAGCGTGAACATACTCTAAGACCCGGCGAACGTGAATTAAAAAAAAAAAAAACCCTTAAAAAAAGAAAAGAAAAGAAAAAAAAAGAAAAAGTGTCATGTAAAATAATAATGCAAACTACTTTTGCGTGGGGGGCATCTCCAAACGCGACCCATACGTATTTGCGAACGGGAGAACGTGTTCTTGTGTCCGGGAAGCCCCCGAACACGTTCTCCGTGCTACACAGTTCGTACCGTATGTGGATTTGGTCACCATAGCACGTAGGAAGTCAACCCTCCTTCACAGCGCATCAACAACCACATTAAACTTGCTTTTCTGATGAGTCAAGGTGAAGTGAAACATGTCCATGTTTTGTGTCCATCTCCTCAGTATGACAGAAAGGTGTGTGGCTGACACTGGCTGTGTCTCAAAGACTCTCAATCGACTGGAAGGTGTCGCGGTTAAACCTTACTTGGAAGTTCAAAGTGTCTGCCATGGGATGACGATAGGCATTTCAGCGTTTCATAGCCATAAAAAGGGTGCATATAGCTCCCTCTCATATGTGGATGTTGCTAGTTTCTTAGAAGGCATCTTCTTGGAAATGTACTCGACAGGTGTTTTGGCTTTTTCCCCTCTTGCTGTTGCAACACTCTGCTTATTGCATACTGGCTCGCATCGGTAGTCAAGATGAAAGGCTTGTCAGGATCAGCAATCTTCAGAACAGGGTAGTTAATGGCAGCAGTCTCCAATTGCTTGAAGGCTTCCTCACACACTCCTTACTCCATTCTCAAGGTGTCTCAACTCTAGTTAAACCACCAGTACATGCCAGCTATCAGCCGCGGGCCCTTTTCGGAGGCTTCCGGCCGGCGATTCAATTTATCTACGGCGCTGGGCCTCCTGAATTTTCAGTAGGCGATGAGTTTTCTTTTCAGCAAGGCTGGGGCCATGTACTGGCGGTTTAAGCCGGTCAAGGGGATAGCTATACCATTTTTTTTGTGTGGTTTTGTATAAACTGCCTGCTGTACGCTTGTAGTCCCAAGAAACGACTGTACCTCAGATAGGTACATTCTGAGGCCCAAGGCAATCCCTTACGAAGGCCGCAACTTTCTCATCATCTGGCATCAGTCGTTCTTGCGAGCTTTCATGACCTAAGTATAGGATCTTCGTGCGACTGAATTCACATTTGGAAGCATTGAGCTTATACTGCTGCTGTCTAAGCAGCCCAAACACAATCCTCAAAGCGCTTGGTGTTCTTCGTTAGACTCCTACTGAAGACATGTATGTGATCTAAGTAGACAACTGAAACCTTGTGCAAGTAGTCTTGGAACACCAAGGTTCATCGCACGGTTGCCGTTGTCGAGATGCATCTTTCAGTCTATAGCTACCCAGGTTCATCACATCGTGGAATGCTCCTGGGTAGCGAATAGAAATAGTACAAAAGGGAAGTTGTCCGACTAGAAGTTGAGGTCAATAGAGAGAACATTGTTGCCTTAGTAGGTTGACGTAGGATCAACCCGAAGTTACAGGAGCTGGTCATCTGTGGAGAAGCTGTTTCTTAGTGACAATCTACAGGAGCAACCTTCTTCACCCGAATACAACGTACAGTCATTACTGCTGTATTTAGACTGAAAGATACCCCAAATACAGCTATAATGACTGTACTTGTATTTGGGTGAAGAAGGTAGGTATGTCAATAGTGTCTACATTGGTGAACAACACAGAGATCATGGCCGGTCTCTACATAAAGGACGTAGTTTGTTTTTCTCATGCGAGGGAGAAAAGTAGAGGCGCAACGTGTCTTTTTCTGGTTCAGCATTGATCTGCCTTTGGATACGATTCTATGCATGTAGCTGAGCTGTTGATCATCTGGGAAAAAAAAAGAAGAAAGAAAAAGAGAAGACTCCTAAGTGCAAGACACGTAATGGAAGATGGTCGACGTGCAAGAAGAGGTATCAGCCTCACCGCCCTACTCAATCTTGTGGATGCTTGTCGGCATGTTCATTCCATAATTAGTGGAAGCAGACCCATAAGGATGGTACGTACCTAATGTTTGTATTTCAGAAAGTAGAGCCTATAAAACTCAAATCACAAGCTCCGTGAATTCGCTTGCACAGCATGCGTTTGGCAACCAAACTAGTAGCAGATGCGGAAAAGCACTGATCACACTAGCACAAGAACAGAACATTAAGTCCCTTGATTAACGAGGAGTTCTCTTCTGGCCTCGCAACGATCAGTACAACAGCAACCATACCACTGCTCAACCGTTACTGGACATCCTACCAGTGGGTATGACCACCTACTCTGTCATCTACTGTGGCATACTGCGTAGCCACACGGGCCCTGCAGGGCCCGTCCCGGACATTCAGCCTAAAAGCCTAAAACTTAGGGCTTACAGGCCCCGTTCATTTCAGCCTGGATGCTGAAAAACGAGGGCCTGCGGGCCCTACCTCGTTTCAGCCTATTTCTGGGTCTTTTCAGACCCAGAGTTTTCAGCCTGAAACGGAGGGCCATTTTCAGGCCCTCATTGTTTCGACC